TTGACATAACCTTTTTCCTTGAATATGGTAATTTGTTTTAGAATAAGGGGATAAAAATATAATTTGTTGGCAATTGATTTTAATACGTATCTATTTATTTCTGTAACATGCTAGGAAATGTCTGATTTAAATAAGTACAGTCCCCCTCCTCAGTCATCAGATCTCTACATGGCAGCTAGCAAACACTTCCAGCAAGCTAAAATGATCCTTGAGAACATTCCTAATCCAGACCATGAGGTAAGACTGACGGAAAAAGAAGTAGCTGCTAATAATGGAATGAGTGTTACTGGTTTCAACGGGATCTAGAATGACTTATTTAGATGTCCAAATTTCTACATTTAAGTAATTTAAGCTTTTATACAACTGGCATGTTAGTATACAAAGTTATAATAAAAATAGACATTGAAGCCTGATTTTATTCTGCTTAATTTGAAGCATAAGTAAGTTCCAAACTCTTGACTTGTGCTATATCTAAAAATGAGCTTGGGGACTGATGAGTTAAGTGTTGGCAACGCCTGCAGTTCAGCCACCGGCTTCTAGTCTGCAAACCGAAAGCCAGTTAGGTACCCTGTCGTTCTTTCCAGTGGTGAGGGGAGAGCTGGGTGCCTTGAAAGGGTAATTTGACAAATCTGCATGTTGAGCAAGGAGCCACCTTGATCTGCTTGCGATCCAAACTGCCTTAAATGTACTCTGTCAAAAAGCCAAAGTTGAGTGATTCAAGTAAGGTCAAGGGTACCAATGGATGCCTAGCATCTGTGTAAACCTTTATTTGGATAGCTAACTAACTGCCTCAAAACCTGCCGTATTTCTAATGTTCTATGAAGATAAGCATGGAAAACAGTGGTTTCTGTGGTCTGTTGAATAAAAATTGACTATTAAAAACAGATGTCCAATTTATTCTAAATTCCAATTGATATACTTGAAAGTAATCCAAAATGCTTTGGTGTCTGTTAAAATAAACTAATACTGTAAGAAGACTGCATTCTTAGCATAGGTAAATGTCTGAGTATTATCCTCAAGATAATTTTGACATCATATGCTTTCCCTTGAAACTTTATTGCTGTTTTCTGTTTAGGTCAATCGAATTTTAAAAGTTGCTAAACCCAATATTGTGGTCATGAAACTCCTGGCAGGAGGTCATAAAAAAGACTCTAAGGTAAGAAAATGCTATCTGAATTGGATATAAAATATAGTAGCATACATAATGTTACCACAAATATCCTGTAGCTGAATTAGCAGATTGAGGTCATAGTTATGCAGCTCTACAAGAAGTAGTGACCTAATCCCTTTTCTCCTATATGTGCTTTTTTAAAATGTAGATTTTAGGAATTGGAAATAACCTGTTCTCAGTTTTTAAATACAGAAAACTCTTCCTCTTCTTTAAGTGTCTTGGAAAGAAAAATGGAAAATGTGTGCAGGATGAGCTGCACAAAAGTGGATAGGTTTTGACAGCAGGAAGGAGCAAAGTACTTGGTAGCTTGCTGTGAACCTGACAGGGAGAACAGTGGCCTTTGAGGATCAGCAGCTTCTGTGTGGATCAGAGGGAGGAGTGGAGTTGCAGACTTCCAGCCCGAGACAGGCAGGGAGGAAACAAGGAGCACACTGAAGTAAGAAAGCACACTAGCACTCTCAAACTGTGTGCCCATCACTGGTATAGAGCTGTAGGGACATCCAGATGTGGGTTGGAATATTTTTTGACATGATTTAAAGAGCTGGGATTATTTTTTTTTAATCTTTTAACCTTTCAATGTTTTTACACTCAGGTACTACTGAATTTAATTTTCAAACTGGGGCACATACTACAGATAATGTTTCAAATCTCTTCCTTCTAGGTTCCTCCAGAATTTGACTTCTCCCCTCACAAATATTTTCCAGTTGTGAAGCTTGTTTGAAAGACAAGATTATTGTTTGGATATGTGAACCATAATCTGTACATCAGATACAAGCTATGGAATGGAATATCTAGTACTGTACCCAGACTGAAAGGGATCTCTAGGATAAAAATACTGTTACATGGAATATCTCTAGTCTGCTTTCTTTACATGACCTGAATGACAACTGCTGTTTTAAAGTGGTTTGTATAATGTTCTATGGCTGAAGCTGATTTTAATCAATCAGTCAATCATCAACTGCGTTATTGAAGAATATTCTACCTTATTCAATGTAATTACAGACTTACTTAATCATAGATCATTTTGATGAATGAAGTCTGACTGAAAATGGATTTAATAACACTTTTGGCTGAATAGAAATAACCCAATAAAGCCGTATGTCTTAGGCATAGCTGAGTGAGTTAGTGAAATTCTGCTTTGAACAAAGCCACTTCAAAAAAGTCTGAGTTTCCATCTTTTTTTTTCTTTTCTTCCCTAAATTTCATCAAACTTGCTCATTTTGAAAGCAGAAGGGATTTCTTTTCCCCCCCCCGAGTCTGCCTCGCTAGAACAATCTTTAGCAAAATTAAGGCTAGATGAAAACGAGACTGTTTCATTTAGCTCCTACTGAACTTAATTCAGTATTTTTGTTTTACTGAAATCAGTTGTCTTGAATGGAGATATGTCCTTGAGGACAGCAAGAAAGGGAGAATGAGTTATTCCTGGTTGTACCTTGTTCCTTTGTCTTAATTCTGCATGGCACTAGACTATGTGCACAGTTAACGCTAGAACAGGTCTCAGCAACACAGGAATGCAAGACGCTAGGAGTGTATTCTAACTACTCTTCAACTTTATTCTTTCTAATCCTTGTGTACCTTTGCCATTAGCAGTTCCTCCTTTCAGTTTGTTGCATTCTCAGCAAGCTGTTGTATGACCAGCATTCTCTTGATTTGGCTGCAGTACTGCAGCTGGAATCCCATGACCTGCTTCACCTGCTTTTCTGCAATCATAGAAGTACCAAATGGGGTAGGAATTAGGCTCCCCCTTTCCTTCAGTGAAGATGGTTCTTCCTTCCAGTTCTGAAATAACACAGGGTAGGCTCTTGTGTTGACCAATTTGCTACTACAAGAGGACAAAATAACATTAAAAACCTGATGTGCTCCTTGATGAAGCATACTGCCTAGTCTTGCCTGACACCTTAAACCAAGGCCTCCGTGTCTGACCCTGTTGAAAGGGACAACTCTTTATTTCAGTGCAGAATGGCCTCCTCCATAGGGATAAGCTTATAATTCCCTCTTGACCACGCAGGACACTTGCTCATGTTCCTCTTAATATATATTTGCAACATGGAGTAATACCACTTTAACTCCATCACCTACACAGCAGCACTGCTAAAGCAGGAAAGCTGAGAAGAATCCCTGAAGCAGAACACCTCATTTGACCGCCAACAACTTGTAGCTTCTAGAATAAGCTTCTTGTAGCACTGCCTGCAAGTTGCACTTTTTTCTTATTTCTCTGCTAGGAGGCTGCATACCATTTTACATGTTTGCCTTACCATCTTGATTCATGCCCTTGAATGCACTTACATCATTGCCATAGGAGTAAAAATACTGGAAAATATAGTTGAAAAGATGGTGAACAGACACTAGTGCAGGTCACCGAGAATTCATCTCACTTACTTACTTACTATCTTCTCACGAGCTATCATAAAAATTTTTCCTCTCTTCAGAATCTTGAACTACATCCCAGTGGCTCAAGGATAGCGTTCTGTATTTCTCCAAAAGAAAGAGCAAGTAACAGAAAAATTGAATTTCACATCGTACCACATTTAGAGAACTAATAAAACCAAAGTGCATCTCTTTCCCATTTTGATTAACATTGAAAGTGGATCAACTGTACAAAACAAGGTAATACACAGTAGAGAAGATTATTTTTATTTTAAAATGCTTATCTAAAATGGATTAGGATTTGTTTTTAAAAAACAGTGTTAATTTAATCCCAAGATGATTAGTCAAGAAGCTTTCCCTCCCTCATGCAAGTACAAACTTTAATGATAGACAACGTTATGTAAACCACAGCTCTGAGTGAATCTCCTGTTTTGTTCAACTAAAAGTCCTTTAGGTCTAAAATTCTATATAGTAGAGAAAGCGGCCCCTTGTCTACTAATATTCCACCACCGTAATTATATTCCTGTAGCACTTGAAGCCACTGAAAAGACTGTATTCCTTTATGCTTTTGAACATTGCTTTTACACAGGCTTTCATACATCTAACGTAAAGAGGTAAAACAACTGTGCTTTGAACAAGGGAGTCTTTGTTATGGAGAGGACACCATCTAACTGGCTAGAAGGGATCACAGTAAGTTTGGATACTGTACAGAAGTATAGCCAATAAAATTTGTTTTAGAAGAATTCCTTTGTAATGTATTAATTACCTTAAGTTTTTTTTTCTCCCCCCCTCCAGGATTTTACCAGTTTAAAGTTAAGGCCCATGCATTCACCTTGAATACAGTATTTCACTGTAGAATTCATTCTGTTAAAGAATATACATTCTAACAATCCCTATTAAATTTCAGATTTATTTTACCTCAGCTAATAGTTTAGAGATTAAGTCCTAAATTAATGCCCATTTAACTCTGAATCTGTGTAAACATTTTGATGTTAAGATGTACCTTTGTTTGCAGAAAAATTACTTAAAACAAAAAATTCAGCAAAACAGAAACATCTCAGCTTTCTCATCACCTGTCTTTGTAAGAAAAGATGCTCATATCCCTTCCTTAAAAAACATAGTTTCCCTGCTATAATGACTGTAGTTAGCCCAGCACAGTTCAATCTGGCTTTAAAAGTCAAAAACACAGTAACCAAGATAAATGTAGTAATGGAGGTCAATGCTTCTCTTTGAACAAATTAACATTAAACTTGACAATCTGTCAGTGATGAACAACTGTTTCTGAATTTAGGCATAATAGGTAATGTTTAACCTGAGCCTTGTTTTTTACTCTATTACAGCTACTACTCTTTCCTCCACTTGCACACATACCCAGATACAGGAGTTGTAAACTGGTATACTAGAAGAATGATGCACAGTGATACATAAGTCATCATAAAATAAAGTGCATTAAAAGAAAGCCATGACAAATTTATGTTTTCTTAAATGAAATTGTTTGTTGGGAAGTTAGCCATGCCTGTCTTCTCTCATGCTGTGCTGTGTAGGTTGGTTATACGCACAAAGATGATTCTAAACACAAGAAGAACAGACACAAATACAATATTTAAAACAGCTGGCTGCACAAAATGCAGTTGTGACTCGGCTTCTTTTTGCACAGTAACCTGCCAGACTATGGCATGCGTACTGCTGCCAGCAGCACCAAGTACCAGGAGCCAACTCCCCACAGTCTTCTGTACTGAGGGTTTACAGGTGAACTCTGACCAAAACTAACAAACAGCTGAGAAACAGCAGGGATAAACTTGCTCCTACAGAAACTCTCTCTTAAAAGGATTTAACTTACTTACGAACGGACCACGGTGCTTCAAAAATCCCTAATTGTAGCAGATGCCTCACTGAAGGCAAGCACTTCTGGTTCTTAAAGAGCGTCTTAATGGTAGCAGAGGGTATTTCTAGTTTATCTCAAGTAAACTAGTTTCTAGTTTACATTCAACAAGTTGCAGAAGACTAAGACTAGAAAACATGAGCAACTGCTACATTGTGCATAATACAGCACTTCACAATAGCTACAGCTTCCCCTGTGGGAGACACTGAAATGTCTGTTAAATGCATAGTCTGGTTTACGTTCTTCAAGAGTCCAACAGTTTATTTGCTTTGAACAATTCAGTATGCTAAGCATTTGCCTTTCTACTTTTTAGCAGAAGATACTGCCTGGGTGGAGTAAAAGGCAGATGTAGCACACCATTTCACAAGGCATCTACCATCAAAAGTTCAGGAGTGAGCGTGTCAGAATTTTTACACTCTGAAGTTGTGCAAGTTAGTGAGAACTGATCCATCCTGTACTACTGATCTTGTGAAGAGGAGTCCAACACTGCTTTCAAAAAACTTTCATGTAAAACTAGGCTAATCTCTCAGAGAAGAAGATACTGTTTTCAGGATTTTTTTTTTTTAATACCTAAAAGCTAAGAAATCAACGAGGACAATGATTCAGTCCTGGTACAGCCCTCGTAAGCTCACAGATTTAGTCTGTGAGGCCCAAGAAACTATCCAGCTACATTGCAGTATAGAAAGTTCCAGAACTGGCATGAGAGTAGACTTACTTTAGCATGGGCCAGTTATTTCCTTCTTCACATGTTTTGTCAAGGTAAGTTAGCTTAAGCTCCTCTTAGGAGCTTATCTTCTAACCTCCTAGGTTGGAGATCTCTCTACTGCATCGATCAAGGCAGAGAGATGTCCTTAGCAGAGGACTCTTTGCCACCTACCACCAATCCACACAAATGGTTATTGTTGAATGATTGTACAAGGTAGTTGACTTCAAAGTTACTACAGTTATTGCTAGTTAGTTTCAGTTTTATAATCAGGAGGAAGGAAGAGTCATTATAGAGGTCAGGCTGCTTTGAAACAAGCCTCCAGAGATTTAAGATAATGTTTTTCACCACTGAAATAGTACTAAAACTTCACAACAAAAAACTACTTCATTTGTGTCCTTGTTAAAGCCTTGAGAAGATAATCGAAATGTTCTCAAATCACTTGGCTGTCATCACTGCTGCATTTATATGAAGAGGTGATCAAGTCATCGTGAACCTCCCTTGTTCACAACTTCTGTCGTTCTTCTACTTGATCAAATAAGTGGTTCTTCATATTGTCTTCATGGTTTTGAACTAATTAGAGAAAAAGGAAACAGTACATAAATCTCTCTAAAAGCTAAAAGACAGTTCGTCATCTAGAAAACAGCACAGCAAGAGCAACTCTGAGAGGGCTACTAATACTGAACGGTACAGTAAAGCTACAGATACCCTTCTCCCTGCCCCCCCTCCAGTGCATGTTAAAAGTAGCTTCACTGATGCTATAGAGAAAATCAGTCACACTATTGAAATTGGGGAAAGTTCATACAGAAATTAGCCAGCTACATCTGCTACAGGACACGATTTAAAATATCTTAATTTTTAGCCTGTGTTACTTGAGGTAAAACAATTTTTTTTTTTTTCCTTTTTACCAGGCAAGTGATTTTCAATTCCTGCAAGCGCTGCTTGCTTGTCCGTTTCAGATTCAGCTTCGTTCTCATCTAAATTGTAGTCAACATCTTTGTCCTGGTTCAGTGCTTCATGTCCCTGTTTGTCTGGAAAAACATTTAAATTAATTAGTTTTATGCTATGCCATAACACCATTGCACAAGAAATAGTTCCTATAACAATCTACCACAGAATTTATTTTGCAGTTGAATGAACTGCTGTTTAAAGATTGGATTTTCATATTATTTTTCTTTTTGAGCTATTAAATTTCAGAACAGCTTTTGCTGTAAATCTTGTATAAAGAGCTAGAGAACAGAGACAATCTTCTGGGATTTGGAAAGTGTAATAAAAGTCAGTCAGCTCTCAGAAGGACAGAAAGGAAAAACATTAAACAACTACAGAATACATTATGTGACAGTCTAAGAAAGACTAAAAACCAAAGCAGATACTGAATACTTGATGACAGTGTTCCTTTTAAATGTATGAGCTCCATCAGTAAGAGATCTCAGATTCCTCACTTCTTGTTTTAATTTGTCCATCAAGTAGAAAGCTGCGACAGTAGCTTAAGAAGAATATTTTTGCATGTGTCAGCTTGAAACAATGTTTTTCTATAAAGGAGATTTCCTTTACCCAGTCATTACTCATCCCACTCCAAACAGATTCATCTTCAACAACTTTTCTTGACTACTTCCTTTAGATTGGAAAGATCTATCTCCTTTAGATATGGAGAGCTCAAAAGTAAATGGAAATTTTCCTTCTGCTCCCCAGCCTCCCATCTTTATTTTATAGGTAGCCAGCCAGAAAAAACTGTAACAGCACTAAGAGTGAGCATACCCTAGTTAAGAGAGACATGAGTCTCTCGTTCTCAAGGAGAAAGAAAAGCTGAACCCTCTAGATAGCAAGTGGCTTTAAAATGGGCCTGAAAATATACAGTCTTATATATTGTTCATGTTCAGACCACCATTTCAAATAGACTTTTACAGCAGTACACTTAAAGGTCTCAAGCTTCAAAGGAAGCTTTAATTGAAAGAGATGCTCAGAGAATATGAAATAAATCTTTCTCTACCTTGCTGCCACCTGAAACCAGCAATCTGTTTCAGGAATTCTAGGAATCCTAAATTCTAGAAACTTTTGTGTAGCTGACAGAAATGCTGTGTTGCCATATTCAAGTACAGAACAGTTTACTTACTCCCAATATATACAAAAGTCTCAGTTTAGACTTGAAAATCAGCTGATGTCCTGATATTTCTAAAACTCTGTCTCATGGGCTCAAACACATAATTCTTGCTTCAAGATCTATTCTGTGTGATGTATTCCAAAAATGCTATCCTATCCATCAAGTTTATCAAGAAGACTATCAAGAAGATAGACGGTAATAAGCCTATGCAGTAAGTAAGCCTATGGTATTTTTTTTTTTTGAACAATGGAACCTGAAGAACATCTTGCTAATCTTTTAGCTCACAGCAACTTGGATAGTAGAATTTTTTCCTGTACTGTTGCAAGATTTTAGTACCTAGTTCTTCTGTTATTCTGGCTAAAACAAGCAGCGTGGATAGCTTATGTAGTCAAATATCTTCAGAGAACAGTTTGCTCTGGCTGGCATCTATTTGGGGCAGCTGCAAGAATACTACTTTAGCATGCAGATGAGATTACTTATCCCTGCTAAATTATCAACTCTATTAACATCATTACTCATGATTACATGAAAGCATTCACTGGATTAAAAAGCATAAACGGTGTTCCCTGCAGGCATCAATCCCTACTCTGACTGCCACAAGGCTTCCCTTTGCCTTCTCTGGTCCACTGACTCAACCTGACGTTATGCTAGGAAGGGTGAAAGGTGTCCCCATTCAGAAGAGCTGGTAGCAAGGTACGTGGAATAGTCTATCAGAAGATAACGAGACATAGGCTTCAATGACCTAAGGAAAAGGAAGGAACTGAGCCTGCATGAGCGCTGTGAACTTCCCCAGCTGTGTGTGTGTGTGTGTGTGTGTGTAAGAAAACATCACTCTCTTTTTAAAGAGTGAAAGAGTAGCTGATACCCTGGTCCTAGGAGCATCATTCTGCATGCATGAATTTAAGTCCTCTTGCAGCACACCTGAGACTTGAGTTCCTCAAGACAGACAGACAGACGGCTGTCTAGATTCTGCTCAGGTTTAGGCATTACATCAATACTGTGCTGTTCAGCGTTGTGAAGACGGGCGGGCGGTTTGGGGGGCACCCGCCAACTTACTGGAGGCCAAAAACTGGCACCTTTACTTGCAACCTCTGATCTGCAGCAGTCTTCCAGGCTCACTATAATAGACTTTGGATACCTAAAGTCTTCTGTAGAGCTGGCCCTTTTTTCCCCATGCTAGTATATTTTGAAACAGAGGTAGTTAACACTGACACGTCATCACTATAAAAAGACTATGCAAAATGCGAGTATGCAGTTCTTCTCTACTCGTTAATGCTCCTGATGAATAACGTCTCATCATATTCATTTTCAAATGCATACACTATATTCTTATAAAGCCTTGAAATCAAAAAGTTTCGGAGGCTGATTTTCCCCAAGCGCCCTGTACAGTCACTAGAGAGACAGAATAAGGCAGCTATGTGGATGCAGAACAAGACTCCAACCTTAGAGCTCTGCAGTGCACAAACAGAAGCCTCCATCTTCACCCACTGGCTGTGGAAGGGTGCTAGGGATTGACTAACCTTTACATTTCATGCTATTCTTTATGAAAGCTCATACTACGTCTGACCAGCTAGTATTACCATCTTAGAAATCCTGCCCTATTCTACCCTTCAGTCTCTCTGCCGTCCTTAAGGACATGTAACGCGCTACCAACCATCTGTTCCAGGGCGCAGGTCATCCTGCCGAGCGTCGTAATTTAAGAGATGCTCCCGCTCCACCTCCTGATTGGCAGCCTGCTCCACTGCTGACTTTACAGGCACTTGCCCAGCCACATGTCTTGCATCTTCGTATGGATTCAGTCCTTTCTCTAGTGCAGGTGGCATCTCCTTAGGGTCTGTGGAAACCTTGAGTGAATCCTGTGGGTGTTTCAGTTCACTAAAAAGCCTCTCCTCCTCTGCTTTAGGTTCCTGTTTTCTGATGGCAACAAGTCCATTTATTCTTTCTATAAACAATAAAAATCACTTTGAGTACAAAACATAACACCTTTTAGTGGCAGCAAATCCTGCTCATTCAATACCCGTTTTTCCTCTGAAGGACCCTCTTTCAACTCCATCAATTCCAAAGAGAAAGAGACAGAAGTCATCCCCTGTTTTCACAGTAGGGACAGCTACAGAACAAGATTGGTAAAGTTTACTGTGGTTTTGTTCAATATTAACAGATTCACACTTCTAGCTACTTAAAATTTTCATAGGTACAGTTAATAAATTGGGCAAGTGAAGCAGAACCATTTAAATACAAAACTGTGATGTTCCATTTAAGTATCTGCTATCACAGCCTTAGAGGTATGCAAAAAGAGGTTTCTGTATGTGTTGCATTTCATTATCAACAATAAAACTGATTTGGTGTTCAGAAATAGCTTAGAACAAAGCAGTCACATGGAGATTTTGCAAGTAAAGCAAAGCTGTTTTTATTTTTAAATATGGAGATGCAGTGCAGGAAGCCTATTGCTCTCAGCAGACATTACCACATCTTCTCTCCTGTGTATCTGTATTTTTGACTAAATAACATCTGGATACAATTTGCCTAAAGAAACTATACAGAGATGTCGTCTTGAATTGTTAGCTTTCTAAAATGAGAGCTGCAGTACTCCGAAGATTGTAATTTGAGATAGCAGGTTAGAGTAATTAAAGAGGAAACTGAATTTCTAACACACACAGTATTATGCAAGACTGAGGCAGTAGCAGCCAGCCATTCAAATTAATAGCTTCTCAGAGTTTAATGCCAAGAGCAACCATTAGGTGATCTAATCTGACTTCCTGCATATCATTTCCCTTACTTACATTTTACCCAGTGACAACATATGGAAGGCAGGAACGTGTGTTTGTGTAAAGCCCAACTTTCAGATACCCCTTATGGATGGCTAGGGCGATAGGCGTGTCAGACTTATTAAACAAGCAAATTTTAAGTGTTCTTAAAAACCTTTGCTTCCAAAGGCAAAACATTTTCTCCATAGTACATCAGGGATATGATTACAGACTTGTAAATATTTTTCTTTTCCTTTACATGCAATACATGTCAGTTGCATCACATGACTGAACCAGTAGCAATGCTGGTCATAAAAAAGCTTGAACAGGTATTAATTACATCTCTCCATAGCTCAGGCAAAAATTGATTATAATTCAGTCTACTAGTGTAACTTTTTCCATTTTAATCTTGTATATAAATATTTTTAAAGACTTTTCAATCAAATTTCAAGACTTACTACCCAAGTCGCTAATAGGATGTCAGTGATTTCCATCTCACCTTTAGCCTGAGGAGAGTCTGTCCTTTTTGCTGTAGGTACTACTCTGGGTACATCTTCGTTGGCTTTCTGCTGTTCCAAGCCAGCCTGCTGGAACTCCGCTTGCTTAAAGGCAGGCTGTTGAACGTTAACCTATAAAGTGAATACACACCGATAGGCACTGGTCTAAACATATACCTTTGGTAATGAAAGTTATATCAAAATTCAATAGGAAAAAAGTGTAAACACACTCAAGAAATATTTTAACTGCACTCTTTATTGGTGACGGAAGTACCACACAATCTCGAGCATGCAGTGATGTTTCTAGTGTATTACATACATCCGAAGAATTTAACATACCTTCTCTAATACCTTTCCATCTAACTGCACCTAACTGTGAAGTTGTTCTTCTTGGTCAGTGTTTCACAGGAATGCAACAAACAAGCAAGGGTCGCAAAACTGTAGTAGTGCACACTTCTCCAGTGTTGCCCTGTTCACATGTCAGGTCTAGCAGCGCAATAAAAACTGATGGCATTAACTAGCACAGCAACACTTTACAGACTCAGACTCTGCTGCGGACACACAGTTTGTTATTTTCTGTGTTAAATATGAGCATTACAAATATCCTGATTTACTTGGGCTTTGGAAAAAACAAGGAATAAATGACAGCAATATTATTTGAAGGAATGGGATGGGAGGAAGCGAGAACTAATCTAATAGGACAGAGCAGAGACCTGGGACAGCCTTTTGTCCAAAGTTTTATCTAAGACCTTATCTAAGACATTAAACATGGATGATACACAGGGCTAAATGTTTTCAAACAAAAGTTTTATCTATAACGTAGTTTGAGATAAAGAAAAGCTGGCTACCCTCCTATGCAAGACAGTTCCTGGTCTCTTAACTCAGCATAGTAAAATATTTCTTAACAGCGCAGGGTGACCTTTCTGACTCCTATCAATCAATCTACAGAGACATATAAACTGAGTTTGGTCATAATCAGACTTTAGTTAATTAAGGCTGCACAGACCTGGACTAAAATTATGTTGAATACAGGCTTAAGAGAAGAAAAAATTTAAATCAACAACAGTTACAGACAACAGTATTGGTTTAACATGATGCAGCTCACTTAAGAATGTATTAAACACTAGTACTAGACTGCTCTGTTTCTGACCCATTTGAACTGCTTAAGGATTAGCAGGCTAAGATGCACACTAGCTGGAAGCTCCTGCAGTTTAGTAATTAACATTTTATGTGCAACTCATACTCATATTAGCATTTAATTGGCCAATAGCTATGCCAATTCAGATCACACAAACACAGAACATGAAATTGTGCCTGGGGCCTCATACAAGCTTCAGCTCAAAAACCAGACTGTAATGAAACTGCTTGTTCTATCTATTTTTTACAACAGATGTGGAGAGAGGACAAATATAGAGACGTTTAGAAATGTAAACATTTTTATACCTGATACCGTATCAATGAATAGGAAACCTGGCAGTATGAAGAGCTTGTCATTGACTCTATGATATTTAATGTGATTGTTGATAAACTGTAGCTACCTATTGTTCTGAGCAGGTCAATAAAACACAAGGCTGAAAAGTGTTCATCTGATTATTTGCAAACATGTCGGTGGAAAAAGATGATTAAATAACCAAGAAAATAAAGCGGTAGAGGATTTGTAGGACATGATTACTTAGTTATTTTGAAAACGTTTAAGCTTAGCCAAAACCAGGCAGAACTAAAGACCTTGTTCGGTGAACATCATCCAGTTCTACATCAACAGATATTCTAACATTAACTCTTACGAAAGCTTGGGAAGCATGCTTATATATTCCCACAAAATATTTGGTTAATTTTTCAGAATAAGGATATTGAAAGAACTGCATCTCACTTCAATCATTAATACATAAAAATGCTACATTTAAAGAATTGTCTTTGTTATAAATAGATCAGCCTCTTGAGGTCTCTCTCTACAGTAGAAACCAGAAAAAGAACATAAGACTATTTCTCACTTTAAGCTGGGGCACGCGTTCCTCTAAAAATACTGACCTTGCACTTAATAGCAAGAAACCACCTCTTAAACAACATGCAAGAACACTTGACTTACATTATCTTAAATGTCTAACTTGGTAATTTTTAATGACAGTGTCAAACTAACAGTGTGTATGCTGACATTTTTTTAAGTTCAAGTGGTTTGTCTTCTGCATAAAAAAGATAATGATTGGAACATGTAAGAGCTGAATGAAAACCTCATATTTTCCTCAACTGAGGGGTATACATTGCTCTACAAAAGAGAGCGCCGTGAGAATAAGCTGTGCATTTATTAACCAATCACTTCTCCATTTTCTTTCTCTGATTTATTTTAATTCTGACATTTCCATTACATAAGTATTTATATCTTGCAAACTCAGCATGAAAACATAAAAATCACAGGAGCCCAGCTACTGTGAGCTGTGCAAACAGGCTATTATTTCAGCTAAAAACTCTGGCTTATAGATGTCTAGAAGGTCGCCTTGCACTAACAATAAATAATTCAGTCTTTGTACAAGCCAAAGTTGCAAGCCTTGTGTGAAAAGACAAGTGAGAAAGTTACCACTTGACATAAGAAACACTGTCCTGAGTACTGAGGAACACAACCAGACAGCATTTATGTAGGCTGCAGCTATGTTAGTGGTTATCTCACCTGGGACCATCCCATCTATAGCTTGGACAGGGCAGATTATCACCCGTCCTTTTAAATCACTGCCCACTTTGAGCCAGGATTGTCTCCAACTCTGGGACTTGCTGAAACAGGCTAAAAATGTGCTAGAGAGGAGCTTTAGCTGAACCCCCCAGTTTCCTTCTGGGATGACTTCCCCCCTCCAAACTGAAATTAGAAGTAGAGCTACAAGGGAGATGAACCCCCTGTTAGTACAAGTTACTTTAACAAACACCTACCTCAAAGCAACACTAGAAGTTATGTTGAACTCCTCTCTAGAACGCCTTCCCCCAGGTAAACTTCCCAAATGGTCAGCATTTTCTTTCTTGATATCAGTCAAGACACTTTTGTTTAACAGGGTTTCCCTAGGCACCTCCAAATGATGGACTTTTTATTTGCTAATTTATCTGATAGTGTCTTTAAAAAATTAGAGTTAGACAATAAGAGCTTTCAATTATTTTTAAAAGGATAAATGACGAGTGGTTCCTGTCCATAATGCCTCATTCACTTTGTAGCTGTCCTGAACACCACAAACCTCGCAGCTGCAGACTCTAATAATGATATATAGTATTTCAGACTAGCCTTGGTTCTCCCACTTCAGTAGTCTTTTTTCCATCATTTTACATAAGGGATTTGTAGGAGAACAGAATAGACACAGACTGGAATGAAGAAGGGTTATTATCTGAACCTGGAGGGGTCTTGTGCAGCTAATACTTCAGATGCTTTTGTTCCCACCTTTTTCCAGCTATTTGCAAGATCAGCTTCAACTCCCGTTTCTTTACCATTTCCATTCACAAAGTTATCAAACTTTTTTTTCTATTAGCATTTTCCTAACTAAAGGGTAAAGGGCATTTACTACAAAAACACACATACTTTTGCAATGAGAGCTGGCCACTCACATATGGTGGAAAGGCCCAATGGTGAACACACACATAAATATAACTTCTGTCACAGCTGCACATAGTTCTGACGACACAATAGGTTGGTACATTTACATAAATTGACTTCTGCCCCAGAGGCTTCACTGCACATTTCCAGTACCATCACTAGCAAGCACAGCCCATCAAGTCCCATCCCTAATCTAACCCCACTTCACTGAAGAAGCATCAATAATTAACACGCCAAGACAGCAGGATGATCTGAAGTTTCTTTTTCTTGGGGATTTCCTCTCCTGCTGCACAGCACGGGAAGAAAGAGCGGGCTGGCATGTAGCCACCACATTTGGCAAGCCTGCACTATTTTAGTGAGCTTTCCCATGTTGTGTGTACAGCAACACCTTTTGTGGTTCTTCAGCTCAGAATGTCCAAAACCAACCAGGTAAGGCATTCAGCCTTCCCCTCATTCCCAGCATACAAGTTTGAAATTGGTATTTATGTGAAAACTCTTAACTCATGAACTCTTTAAGTCCCTAATAAAGACCTACAGGCTATAGTGTCCTACTTGAGCCTTGCTGCTTCTTGGAAGTGATTCATACTAAATTTATCTTCAACTTTAATATGCACCTGTAAATACAAAACAACTAACTCCTTTAACAAAGTCAAAACTGAGCTGTGGGCTGAAGTGTAGAGGTGTAACTACACCTGACCAGGCTCCTCACCACTCCCGGCACCATGTCTCAAATTCTGCCCATCTCGGAGTCAGAGTAATTTGGAGAACAGTCAGTCTCTCTGCCTTGTTCTTACCTTCGAATCATTCAACTTCACACTAATCAGAAACATTCAACAAATGTGAATGAAAGCTCTACAAAACTTAACGAGATGGGCTGATGTTAGCTGGGGATGGAAGGTAGGAGAGTCCCTTAAGAACTACACAGAAAAGTATTTTTAGGAAGTAATCCACACCTTACCTGGAGATTGTTGTTGGAATCTTCTGAGAAGTCTTTGTTTTCTTTCATCTGTGGCACTTCGCTGCCTTTTTTTGTAAGCTCATTTATTCTTTCTTCACATTGTTCTTTTAATTCTTTCATTTGGTTGATGCATTGTGACCTGGAGGAAACATGAAAAAGTTAGCAGTCATTTTATTTTACAACTGGATAAAAGTAGAGAAACACTCTTCTAAAAAGTTTCCAAAAACTGGTTTATTCCTTTCCTGCACTTAAGCTTGAAAAGACAGTAGAGAAATGGAAGTGTTAACCGATATACTAAGGACAAACCTAATATGCAGGTGGTCCAAGTTCCACTGGAAGAAATTAAAGTGCTTTTCTCAGATCAGTTCAACAAGGTATGTGAGTTTTCTTGCCTTATATTAACCAGTTCATTTAAGTTAAGTCAAAAATCATTTTTGATCCTTGAAACACTTCTGGTATGAGAAGAGAAATAGGGATTTTGATTTTAGATAGGAAGAGGAAACAGGAAGGTACTAGTTCAAAGCCATTTTGGAAGTAAATAGAGGCAAGTTACTGTTAGCAAACTAAACAGCCTTGCTCAATATTTTACCAAAGTGCAGTGTTGCAAGATGTAAGAAAACCGTATGTAACAGTTCTCCAGTGGCTACTACAAGCTCCAATAGGGATATTTGCTAAAGATTCAAGTGATCAGTATTTTTATACTATACTACTGTTGCACTGTGCCATAAGTGCATTAACCTTCATAATGCTAAGGGTCTTCCATCTGCAGTCCTGTAGTCTGCCTTTCACTCACAGCTCTGTAGCCTTTCCCCTCAGCTGTCCTAGGACTATTCCTAAAGCTGACAGGGCAGTATCTCCCTGTTTTGCTCTCATGCTGCTGCTCTTGTGCCATTATTCATACAGCCTTGCACCTGCAAACCCCAACAGAACTGTCATGTTGGGTTTTTCCCCCAATAGCACTGTCATGTTGGGTTTTTCCATGGGAAGCGACTGCCATCCAAGCGAGATCACCCCTTCTTCCCCACCCTCTCCCTACCTCATTCTGTAGCTTTTGGTTCATACTGGAAGAAAAGAAAGACTTTCAAATAAACTAGATAAGCACTATCCAGTAACACTTATGCACAATGCTCAGCCAGCAGTCAGCATACAACCCTACGTACGCTTAGATCCCATCATGAACACGAAAAACCAGTAGTGGGTTTGAGTGGGTCCCAGTGAGAAATACATCATGCTAGGGGAAAGCATGGTGAAAAATCGTCATCATTGCCACTGTCATCAGCACCCACCACGCTGGAGAACATGCCTGGCTGGAGACCACGTCGCTTCTCTTCTTGACTGTTTGCTGCAGCAAAGGTTTTTCCCTCTCTTTTGTGTATTTCTCTCCTTTTTTTTGGACCCCTCCTCCTCAAAGGTAACATTGAACACCTTGCACACCATAAGCTGCAGACCCCAGAAACACATCTTTGCACAAGGAAAGCCTCTCTCCACATTTCTTGTGCAACACAGTTAATATGTTGCAAGTTTTATCCCCCCTCACCGGGGGGAAGGGGAATGAATTTCTGAGCCTGGCTCTGTCATAGTATTAATTCCGCCAGTGCAACAACAGCTGGTCTAGACAAGTATCTTCCAGTTTCTCAAACTGCAACTAAGGTGCCACATAATCCAGAGAAATTCTCGCGGCATGTGTCCTCTAAGGCAGGAAGTCACCCATTCATACTGCATTATCATTCTTTCCCATCATTCCTTTTTAAGAGCAAAAAATTTGCTCTGTAGTTCACATCCAGAAAGGAAAAGGAGTGGTTGACAGATGTACTATCAGCTAACAAATAAATTACCTTTATTACTGTTTTTTCCATTTCATACCCTTACTATATACTCTTTTAAAGCACGATTTTGCTAACACTAAAACAAGAAAGAGTCATGAAAATAAGCAGTGCATCACAAGCTAGTGAACACGAGAGACTATAAAATAAAGGCTTGAGTTATGCACACCTTCATTAATTTCTTGGAAATTCAGGAAATTAGAATTGCCTGCATCTCAGTTTGGGAGCTGGAGAGAGAGGCAATAAATTGCAAAGCTAACGTCGGAGAGAAAGCAGACATTTATAAATGCTCTTTCATCCCGTACTGCACATGAAAAAAAAGTTCACATAACATTTGAGATAAAACCAAAATGAAGAGAATTCATTAGCTATGAAGGAATTTCCTTCTTGCAAAACAGGAATCCTGGAGATAAAGATACTCTATTCATGCATACAAGAACTTGAAGCATAAGAACAGTGCTAGTTTCTCCACATTATCCCATCAATGTGACATACTTCAAACATGCAAAACTAGTACTCTTACAATTGAGTCTCTGTGGCTTGTTTATCTTTCTCAAGATTAAACAATGAGCAATAGAGTAACTCTTGTCGGTCAGGAGCATGTATGGTCAACTCCTTTTATATATGCCAAAAAGGTAATTCTTTCACACACACTCTCACACTCATCAGGGCTGCAAATATTAATCTAATTACTGCACTTGCTAACAAAATTTCTAAAGCAGCCAGTAGAGACAAAGACAACATAAGTTCCAAGGATTCATAATGCAACAGAATAATCAAAATGCTTTAGAAGTCTGAAGTCCTTTGTTTCCTTTTGACTGCTGCAGGAGAGAAGGGATAGCGTTGGAAGGAAGGGGAGTTCCCGGCTTGTCCACGTTGTTCAGCTGAGTGAGCTCTGCTGTGAGCAGATAGGACTGTGTGCACTACATACCACGGGGCTCCTGGTCAGTCACTTCCTGAGGAACATAAATACCTCTTGCATACATGCAACGGCAGCAAGGTCACCTAACTCACCGATGAATTCTGTACTGAAAATGCTAGGCCCACTCAAAAGATCTGCTAAAATGAAAATATTTTCCTTCGCTTACAGATCTCCCAGTTTTCTTCCTATGGGAGAGAGGATTTTGAAGAGCACAACAGCAAACTTAAGTGCTTCACTTGCCTCCTCTGCCTTTAAAAAAGAAAACTCTCTCCTGTGATAAATAAGTTCAAATTTTGCAGCAATCTGTTTATTTGAAATACCAATTCATGTTTACTGTAGCTGTGGTAGTGAGGAGACAGCGGGGAAGGAAGCATCCTCTTTCTCTTCACAATTACATTCCCTCCCTTTTTTTTTTTTTAATTATCAAGTGATAATTTAATAATTTAATATTTTTTCCAATTGTCTACAAATCCTGGAACCACAAGCTTGTCCATCTTTGCACAGCAATGCTTATTCAGTTCTTCCTAGTTCTAATGTAATCTAACGCTATCAGCCCTGTCTCACCCTTGTGTAGGATTTCCAAATGACAATCCCCATGCCAGACAGTCCCCAAAGCATTCTGTTTATACATACTTCATATTTTTCCACCAGGGTGCTGTGCCCATTCAGCATGCTATTTGTGAAAAGCAACCCCTAGCCATGACAGAGCTTGAAGAGTAAGGTGCACTGAACCTTACTCTAACTGCTGCCAACCTCCAATGAAGCAAGAGAACAAAGTAAGACTTTGTAGGCTGCAACAGAAGTAGACGGATTCTCCAAGTAAACAACTGGCTGCGTCACTTGTGTTGGTGACAGGGTTTTAGATTCTATAACCATGGGACCCTGTTTGAAGATCAGCAACTGTCTGGGAGAGATGGGATCCACCTCACTAAAGGAGGCACACGCATCTTTGCCAACAGGCTGGCCCACCTGGTGAGGAGGACTTTTAAGCTAGGAAAGACAGGGGAAGGGGAGCTATAGATACCACGTAGTCAGTAAAAAAGGGATCAAGTGGAGATACCTCTTGACAGCAAGTGCAGCCAAGGAAGTACCTGCAAGACACGACCATAGTGTGTCCTCTTGCACCCCTCATGGGAAATCAGCATGCATGCACAGACATCTAAAGACAGCAAATTTTGGCGTTCTGGCTTTTTTAAAAGACTTAGGCTGGAGAGAAGCTGACGATTTTTGCACCCTCTAAATTAACAGATTTTGTTCTTATCTATCTCACATGCACAGTTAATTTTCTCTGTCTTCTATAGTACAGTGCCTTTTTTTTTTTTTTTTAAAGGCAATTTACTATTTTTCCAGTTAAAAAATACAGGCATTTGGCTTCTGTCTCATTTTCATAACATTTTCCATTATACAATAACGCTCTCTCTATTTTTCTACTAAACAAAGTATGTTTGTCACTCAAGATGTCAAACCTGAATCCATACAACTCCCATTCAAAGGAAGAAACAATGGCATAATATGTAAGGGCTCCAATGATACCAAGGGCAACTTGGAAAGTCTTAAACAGGATTTCAGAGCTCTGGGGATGGTGATCAGAGGTCTCAGGGCCTAGGCCATTTTCTCCTTGATCCTGTCAGTGAGGGGAAAGGACGGGAGGAGGAATGTGTGCAGGCGCAGGGCCATGATCTCACTGCAATTACAGAGACATGCTGGGATAGCTCCCATGACTGGAATGCTGCCATGGATAGCTATGTGCTTTTTAGGAAAGACAGGCCAGGAAGGC